CAAATAGCTTCGCAGCACGCTGTTCGCTGCTTGTCGATGGGGGGGGGGTAGATAGCTGGTGTGGAACTGTTCAACACGAACGTTCCACACTATACAGCCATGCATACAGTTTGGCCAGTGTGTTATAGCACTGGCTACGCACACGCATGAGTGTTGCCTCCCCAGGTTCAAACCCTGGCAGCAGCAGCAGCATCCCTGATATCTTAATAATATATATCCGGGAGCGGAGCGGGGCGGGGCAGCGGGGCAGCGTGGGCGCGTGGCGCACGCGCGTGTGCGGCGACCTTGGCCACGTGCGCGACCTTGGCCTTGGCGCACGCGTGCGTGGTGGCGCTCTCCTTTTTCGCCACGTGTAACTCTCTTCCCGCTGCTACTTTTTTTTCGTTTTTCTCTGCTCCCGCACCGAAAAAAACTTGAAAATCCCATTGTCGGGATTACACCGATCCCGCACCCGCTGTTGCCTGCGAGGGGAAGGGCGGGTTGGAGCGGGGACCGTTCCCGCTCTGATACCAGTGTGTTGGACCCGCCGGGATGGCGGTCCGACAGGATGGAGACGAAGGGTAGACGAGGGAGGAGATAGAGATAGAGCTGGAAGGGACAGCGCAGCTCCGACGCAGACTCAACACGCACGTACTCCAAGATCTGCCAAAGTGAAGAATGACGAAAAACAGACAAGTGCTGGGGTATACCCCCAGCGGACTGACTGACTGGACTGGACTGGCCTGGTACCGACAGTGGTACCGGGCAGGAGTAGAACAGCACACGGCCTGTGGGGTCAGGCCACGGCCTGGTCCTACAGGCCGAACTGCGCAAATAGCCAAATAGGCCCTGGCTGTAGGCCAGGGCAGATGAAGGCCCGCATCAAGTAGAGATTCAAGCGGAAGAAGAAAGCTCGGAAGAAGAAGAAGAAGCCTAAGACGAGGCCGACGAGGAAGAAACTCCCGAGGAGGGGAGCAGCAAAGGCGAGCAGAGTGAGGAGGAGAAGGGAGAAGAACAAGGCGACGAAGACGAAGAAGAAGATCAGGAGGAGCTAAAAGAGTCAGAGTGGGAAGGATTCGAAGAGGAGGTGCGTGTTGAGGCTCGGGAGCGGGCCCAGGCGCAGAAGAGGGAAGAAATCGTGGTCGGGAAGCGACAGTTGGAATTCGCCATCGCAGCCGGTCAACCGCGCACCGACGACCCGGCCCGAAATCCAGAGCCACCTAAGCCCGAAGATGGAGAGACAACTGCCGAGACTTCGGCCGCACCGGCAAGACGACGACGAAGCCGATCCCCCTCCCCCTCCGCCGCCAACCGCCCATCAACTCGTCCACGTACCAATGCGGGGCATCGGGCTTCGTCCCCGGTCGTTATCCCGCCGTCCCCTTGATCACCTCTCCCTTCGCCAAATCACCACCCTCGTCACCTTCCCCCCCAATCCCTTCCCCATCGATACCTTCCGCTTTTTCTACACTACCCGCCTCGCTGTCACTGTTCATCCCCACCCTTCCACCCGATGCGCCCTCCCTGTCTTCTGCCTCCATATCCTTTTCCTTAGTGTCGCGTGACGAGGCCACAATATGATCAAGGTATACTGCATCATTACGGGGACTATCCCTGCACGCGAAAACCACGATCACTTCTGCGCGGCCCTTTTTCGAATCTTTACCACCCTCTATCCCGACTACCGCGCATCCCTCCCTCACACTGCAACTGATTCCCCCGCTTTCACCGGATCGTTCGCTATCAGGAACTTTCGGAGACGGTGGCCGGAATGGAGAGCTTCCTTCCCTCGTTACCTATCAACCCTCCCCCTCGCCACCCCTCCATGTATCGTCTTCCCTTTCCCCTCCCCGGCGCTCGCTGATGCACGACTGATGGACACGTGTCATAACGGCAACAAGTGTAACCCCCTCCTTGGATTGTCAAGGGCCCTCCCTGAGGAATTTGTAGTAGAGTTGTGCTGCCACGATGGACGACGTCCACACTCATTCGAACGGTAAGTGGCATAGAAAGAAGAGCTCCACGTGTCGATCGATTAGAGAAATCGACACGTGTTAACAAGCAAGCAGGAACTTGCTAATATTGAAACCCCCTTGGCGTCACATATGTGACGAACCACTTTCCACACCGCGCAATTTCCTGCGCGATAGCGATGAGGAGTCCTAAGCTGGGAAGGTTGGGCCAATTACGGGAGATTGGGATGGATGGGAAATTGCATCAGTACCCTCGCTTCTTCGTCTTTTGCGTCAATTCTTTTCGGTTGGTTGAGTTCGGAGCTTGGTGTGTCCCGGGAAGGGTGATTGATTGGTCGGGTGGATGGCGGACGCGCCGCCGAGCGCGCGAATAATAAATGTTGACGTCGTTTCTTTTGTTCGGTTTGGGAATTTACGCGCGGACATCGCGCAAGAATTTGCTTCGTTCTTTTTGAATTTTCTTTCTGAATTCTTTTTCGAATTTTGTGGAGCCCCGATGGCGCTCGGAATTTCAAACTTTCCTTCCGAAACTTGTGCTTTTTGCTTTTATGCATTACTTAGGAATTTAGGAATTTTGTAATTAGGACTTTTCTTTTGCCGCGCGACGCTTTTTGCTTACTCGCTTCTTTATGCGGCTGCAATAGAATTCTGATTAGTCGGCGCCTTTAATCGGATATGTAACTGTAATTTTGGGTTGGCGCCACTATAACTGTATCTATCTTCTTGTGCTTCGTCTTTCCCGCCCTCCTCTTTCCTTTGTTGCGTTTTGATAACCACGGTCTGCATGCTCGGATCGATGCGTGGAGAGTGGCTACGTCCCCCACGCCGCAGCCCGGTCATGCAAAGCACAAGCGCTCCCTCTTTAATCTTTTTTCTAAATCCTTGTAATTCCGTGTTCTTCGCGCATGCATGCACACTATAAATTCAGGATGCGCGATTAGTTAGCCCTCTTAACGAGTTGTTGGAAGCTCGGGGTTGCGCGATCAGAGAGGGTCGGCACACGAGCGAAGTAAGAGGTGAGTAGAGCAGGAGTCGGGCGACCCGACGAGCTGGTGCCAAACGTGCAGGGTTGACCGAGCTACGACGGACTGTGGGCGCGGGCGATCCTGACGGGTGCGGGAGGACTTAGCGAGGTGACGGCTTCGTGGGTTGGTGCGCGATGACGGACTGTCCGCATCGGAGAAGAAGAGAGAGGAAGAGGGAGTTGAGGTTGACGGACGCGGGTTTGTTGTTTCTTTTATCTTTTCTCCCTCCTGTCTTGTGTACATAAATTTTGAGTTCGGCGCCGGGCGATCAGCCCATTCTTTATTTTTCGGAATCTGAACTAGGGTTTTGCTTATATTTGTCTTCGCGATTTCCATCTCCGATGCACTGTGTGTATGTTGCTGAATGAACGAATGTATGAATGCCATGTTTGGTTGCTTATCTTTCCACTGGATCCTTGCCTCTGCTTTGTTAAGTGCATTGATGCACTCATGAGTAGAATATAAATTTTGCACAATCGACAATCCTGTTCTCGTTTTTGTTTGTCTCTTGATTGGGCTGTTGCGTTGGTTGCATCTTGCATGCTCGAACACACGGAGTGATTAGATGATCGGTTGTCTGGCCCAATGAACGTCGCGCGAGGACACGTGTCAACGCGACTTGATTTGCGCACATACACTCGCTCCGGTGCGTCGGTTCGTCAAATCTCAAAAGAGATTATCGATTGCGGGGATATTGTCAGATCGAACGTGGCCGTTCCGCGTCAAGCGACGAAGCCATCGTCCCGTATAAGCACGTGAAAGCGCGGCTCAATTGCGCGGTCTGCCCGTGCTTGCACGCGGCGATCGCCTTCGGCAAGGACATACCTTTAGAAACTTCGCAACTCAGCGATGACATGATGACGCGCTCCGAGATCTCGGAGTCGTTGTTATACAATCCGGACTACTTCACCCCGTGGGTAAACGAAGTCCTGCGACCAAGACACCCTTGCCTAACCGAGACCCGACTGTGCCCTTGGGAGTTTCACTGCGCAACCACTAACGACCCCCAGTGCTTTGATTTCCCCTCTCCGGACCATACCTACTACTTCACCCACCCCGGATTTGTCGTTATCTCGACCAGCTTCCCTCCCTTCCGCCTTCTTCTTCTGTATCACCAACTCAGCGTCGTCCCGTGGCCGGCCATAGCCCCATACTGGCCCAATACGCCTTGCGGAAATTGTCGACGACGCGGCGATTCGAGAACCCTGGAATCCCGGAGGCCCAACCCATACGCGCGACGACCGGCGCCACGTGGCAACTCCCGACGGCCTGACTCATCGGAACCCCACCTACCCCGAAGGGACGCTCCCGCAAACCGCCGTCCCCGAAACCGATGGCTCGATCGGCCATGAGCGACCCGCGCACACCACCTGCCTTGTGTCCAGGGGCGGTCCGCCCTCTCTGCCAAATTGCACTCGTGCCCCCGAAAAACCCTGCCACAGGAGACCTCAGTTCTGACCTGGGACTCCACTTTCCCAAAACTCCTTGGCACACCCCTTTTCGCACTTCCAGGCCCACACTTTACTCCGATCAGGAAGGCGCGTTGGGCGTGAGGTTTTGGGCGTCTTAGGGGAGCATCACCTGCTGGAAAACAAGTCCAGTGTCCCATTGAATACATGAATGCATGAATGCCTGAGTACATGATGAGATGAAGGTCATTGATGTCTATGGTGTCGGGGAGAATATGGTTGTATTTCCTAAGGGATTCTCTAGCATCTGAAAATGCTGGAGTGTCTCGAGCTATTCAGGAATCGTACATCACCTCTTCACCTCCTCTCTTTGTGGCGCCAGATCTTTGTGACCAACCAGTGCTGTATTTTCCGTGAACTACTATCACTTCTTGGGGAAAAACCTGAAACCCCTAAACCCTTTCTCCTCTCCCAAGTGTCTGATACCCCGGCAGTATGTTTCTCAAATAAGTGCCACCTGGCACCCTTTTCAATCTCCCTTCTTTCCTCTTCTACCCTATCCGTTGGTTTCCTGCCAACGGTGGTTTCTCATTTTTAGTGCCTTCTCGGGCACTCACAGACTGGGGTCCGATTCCATCGAATCAAAGGGAAACGGAAAGTAAAAATTAGGACCCTTTCTCGATTTATGCGTCATCCTTGTGCAGGGGCCATGCTGATTTTGGTACAGCCATTTTTGGCCGCACGATCCTTGGCCGGCTTTTCTTTTTTTTTCCTCGAGGCCTCGGCCGAGATGTCTAGCTACAGTCGGGCAGGGCCATGGCCGAGATGTCTAGGCAACGCATGGGCTGGGCCACGACCAGGATGTCTAGGCCATGGCCGAGATGTCTAGGCCATGGCCGAGATGTCTAGGCAACGCATGGGCAGGGCCATGGCCTGACTATGGGCGGGGTGGGCCACGGCCGAGATGTCTAGGCCATGCATGAAAGGAAAAAAAGAAAAGAAAAAAAAGGTCCGGAAAATGACAAAAGTGCATATTTCAATCAGGCCTGATGTCTGAAACGCCGCCCAATGTTATTTTTGCCTTTCTGGACGGCGGCGGGAATGAACCTGCTGATAAGTGTTTTCTTTGCCTATTGGAAACGTGACCAACGAGCCGTTGTCCCCCCCAAAAAAAAATGGGCTATCTTGTCAGGGACAGAACATCGAATTCGGACGGGTTACTGAGCCAAAAATAAATAAAAATAAAAAAATTCCAGGGGCGACCGCTGCACAGTTCTGAAGTCGCAGGAATAACAGGGCCCTGCAGTTCTGGGCCGAGGGCAGTTAGAAACTGGAAAAACAGAACAGCTTTGTGCACTTCTAGGAAGTTCGGAAGTGGCAAAATCAGGTGGCCACTCGTGTTCGTTTTTGTTTTTTTTTCCCATACCTGCAACTCTTTTTTTTTCCGTGCCTGTGACTTTGTTTTCTTTTGTTTGTTTTTTTCGCGCATGCTTATGCCACAGCCGAGCTGTCTAGGCCACACCCATGGCTGGGCCATGGCCAAGATGTCTTGGCCACGCCCATGGCTGGGCCACAGCCGAGATGTCTAGGCCATGCCCGTGGCTGGGCCACGGCCGAGATGTCTAGGCAAGGCCACGGCCGAGATGCCTAGGCCACACCTGTGGGGAAACGAGCCAAAAACGGGACGGCCTGCTAGCGGTAACTGCTCCCAGGCCAGGCCACGGGAAAAAGAGCGATACCACTACCGCCACCTCCCATTTTTGCCAATTATTGAACCAGTAGGCCGTCAAACGCATGATTTACTGTTTTGCTTGCAGTTTCTAACTGGTCTTCACCCAAGCTTGCAGTCGACTGATATTTCTGCGAATTCTGAACTGTGCAGCGGTCACAGGCGCAGTTGTCTCAAAAAAACCCACCAAGCACTGCAATACAGCCACTCACGTTCCCCCCCCGAATATGACGTGCGGTTATTATAGCTGTCTTTGGGGCAACTTTAAGAGGTGGACCCCTCAGGGGAAAAACTCTACAAAAAAACACACCGCGGGCAAGTTTCCCCAACCCCAACTGGCATTGGAAAAGGGCGTGGAAGTGACATTCTTTCTAGGATTCGAGTTTTTCAGGGACCCCACCAGACAGAAAAGTGTGGCGTGG